TGACAATTTGATGACATGTCAAGTGGAGATTTGCTATACCAGTACATGTATGTACTAGACTATATCATCTTCCACTGCATATTTATCCACATATTTTAAAAGGGAAAAGAGTTCTATTGTGATGTTAACCATTTGTATCTATTGTTTCTTAGTTTGTATTTGGCTTCTTTCAAATAATTACGTATACCGACCACATTGACTAAATATATTTTTCTACTTTCTTCTTTTCGTCTTTATCTATATGCGTATACACAGACTGCTGTAATAAATAAAATAAAAAAATTATATTTATAAATGTATTTATATTTTGTATTTACAGTAGCGAAACAGCTGTTTTTAAAAACAAAAGATATATACAACAAAAAAGAAAAAAAAAACAGAAAAAAATCGGCCAACAAACAATATAACAATAAAAATATAACTGTTTTAACTTTTGTTCTATTTTATAAATTCACTTGCGTTAATTAAATGATTAGAGCGTCAATCGACATTTTAGCGACCGACATTTGAGCGACTCGATATTACCACGAACAGGACTCGACTCTTCCACGAATTTTTCGTAGTACACATTTGGGTATTTTTGGCAGTGGGTCGTGGGATGTGGACAGTGTGAGAGTGAGTTCAAGCAGTAGTTTCACGCAAAACATATTTTCTTCACTCGAAACCTTACATCTGTAAGCGGATCGTATAATGACTATTCATCACATAACTTCTCTCAGATTTCATGTCGGTCGCTCAAAAGTCGGATTAATCGATTAGAGAGTACCGATGTAGTTAAAATCGCTCCATTGTGGATGATTACTTGCGATTAGCAATAAAATCGCCAATTATTCGCATTTCTGACTATAATCGTCCATAAATTGCGATATATCGGAGTTTTAACAATTGGCGACTAATCGGCTTGCATGAAAAATCGCTAGTTGTTAAAAATTATCGATAATATCGCTATTCTTAAAGATCCTGGTGATTTTTCTGTTTTTTTTATAATGGCCAATTAGTTGCGATTAATTGTTCATTTTAAACCATTAAATGGTTTTGTGTTATTCACTGTTTTATTCTGCAGTAGAGTAAGTATATAAGAAACATAATTTCAATAATAAAGGTTCTTCTTAGATTATCTTTTTAGTTTAGCTTAAAACGGAGTTGCCATGGATGTTCTCTGTAGTTTCCTCAGAGCTGACTCATTGTTTCGATATGAGTCAGCTTTGAACCGAGGAGCCCAGCTGACTATTAAACTAAAAACTCGCCGATTAATTGCTATTAATCGCTAAAAAATCGTCGATTTTCTGCCGATTTTGACTACATCGGTAGCCTCTTTGATAAAAACATTTATACACACACACAGATGGTTAGAACAAAATATTCAGAAATATTATCTCATCAAGAAAAATTTCTCGAAGTTGTGTTTTACATTTGAATAAAAAATTAAGATATGACTTGTAGTAGTGTAGCGTATTACTTCTTACCAGAAAGAAAATGTATAATCGTAGTTTCAGTAGGAGCTAAGATCAATCTGCAGTCAATCAGATCTCCATTCCTTATAATTCGTATGGCGAACATTTTTTTGCGGTTGCACACCGTTTCCCATTATTTTATTAAAAAAATTTATTTTTCTACCAACTATCTCGTTTGTAATTATAAGTATTTTTAGCCAGTTAGAAAACAAGAATAGAAGTGATTTTTATTAAAATTTGTGCATGATAAAACTCTATTTGCTTTGATGATTTGTGATTTCTTTGATTGATATACTACAAAAAAGTTTTTTCCTAAGTCAATATATTCTCACCTGCACATTATTTCTTCACATTATATACGTTCGTAAGTATAAAAAATCCTTACTATAGAAATATAATCTATTAAAACTACATTTTCTGCGAGAAAATAAAGAAACATGATCTATTAACAATTGAATTAAATAAAGACGCGCTCTCTAGGTAGCAGAAAAAAAAAGTATTGCTACTTTTCGAAAGTCAATTTAAAACATGATGTTTAAAAGATTTTATGAGTTTAATCTTTTTTTCTTATTGAACCAGGTTTCAATTGTGTTTATCAATATCTCGTTTTTACAAAGCCATAAGACTTAAATAAACTAACAACAGAAAGAGAGAGTTTTTCTGTCTGAAAATAATTTTAATATAATAAGTATTTGGTAAGCAATGTATCTGATCTGAATGAATGTTTTTCAATATTCGGTTTTCTGCATTAGACTACAGTCGGTTGAAAGACGATCGTCCACTTTTTTTTTAGATTTTTCTTTTCTCAACTATAATCGCTAGAAAAAATCGGAGAAAAGATGGCTGAAAGAGTTTCCTGTCATAAGATGTGTGTGTATGGAAATTCTTATAGAGTTCTTCTAGACAGAATTTTGGAAAAACCAGAAGCCGAGAAAAAAACATGTACCAGACATGATCACGTTACCTACTCTTCTCGCTTTCTCTATTTATAGTACTTAACGATCATTTTCTTCGTTTTTATATTCTTTTTCACCAGACAAATGTGGATACGACGTCTTGTTGTCAACGTCGAAAACGGACGATTATTAATTGTGTTTATATGAATTGTTTAGTGTGAAACGTAAAAAGGATTTATCGTATTAGTAAACGACTATTTTTCAATGAATGTATAAATTTAAAAAGCTCAATTGTGTAGTACTGACGATAAAACTTGATCTATACAGATTTGACTGATATTCTTCACAACTTTTTATCCATAAATATCTCTTATAATAGTAGAAAATATGACACACACATTGCAAATGATTACAAAGAAAAACAAAAACAAGAAACGATGCAGAAAGAAAAGAATGCGGTAGCGTGCGTTAAACGAAAATAAAATAAGTTAGTAGTAAAATTATGCTAAATGAAGTATTAGTAAAGAGATAACCGCAAATACATTTCAGTGTCACAATTGTAGTGTGTACAGTATATTTATTGAGTTTACAGTTTACAAATTTGAATATGTCACTTAATTTATCATCATTCCATTACAATCCAATGTAGTAAGTTTTAATACTTTAAAAATTTCGAACGAGTCATACTTGACATAGCAGAAGAGTGACAAAAGAGAACGCCACAGCTACATTTCGATCCATTGATATATCTATCGGAAGACTGTTTGGGATACCGGCGATGCAACATTAAGAGACGACAGGTTTTTGAAAATGCGAGCGAATTTTGGAAAATTTTACTGTGACAGAAATAGGATGTGGACGTAAGGACACATTCGATTTCTCTCCAGAATATCATCAATAGTCTCTCTTCAGAAGTCATATCTCTTGTGACTTCGACTAAATGTGCCCTTTCTTCTTTTCATTCATCTTTTTCTTTTGAAAGTCGAACATTTTGTCGATATTCGAGCCTCGAACCAGAGGTGTATACCGAGTACTTATTTTCGTCCCGTCTTGCCCTACCACCTGCTCTGTTCGATCCTGTCCTGTCTAAAGAATGATTCATAAAAAAGTGTCTTTCTGCTCTGCCCGGCAGGGCAAAACGCGTTATCTTGTAGAATGAATACCAGATGTTTACCTTTTTCTCGACAAAGTTAAAAAAATACACCTTTCTTCATTTCAAATCACAACGACTTAATTTTAGTCTTTTTATTACTAAAGAAACAAATACTGTTTTTTTTATAACAACAACAACAGCACGACGGTAGAGAGGAAAACAAGCAGGAGCCCGTTTCTCAAAAAATGTTTTGCTTAAGTGGAAAATTTGACTTAAGTAAGATTTTTTGCTACATGAGTTTCCCGAAAGCATCATAACTTAAGGGACCTTTCGACCATCCTTAAGTTTTCACTTAATTTTTTAAGTGAAAAATTATTTATACTTTATAACTACTTTATTTTACGTTTTTTCGTAGTCAGACCCATAAAATTTCATCAGAATAATCTAAATTTGTTAAAATATGAGTGATTTTTACTGTATAATTTCTATTTAAGTTAAGTTTTTTTGAGAAACACACTTAAGGGGAAAGTTAAGTATCCCTTAAGTACTACTTAAGTTTTTCCTTAAAAATCCACTGAAGTGGAATACTTAAGTGGTGAGAAACAGGCTCCAAGAAAACACCAACAGAAAGCTGAATGTCGGTTCCTCAACAAAGAAAAGAAACCATGTACAAAAGCCATTGCTGATATCTTTATCTATGCCAAAATTAGAAATAAAAAAGACACCAACAAGAAACCACTTGCTATTGTTTATTTGCTTACCAAACTCTCTTTCGAATTATTTCTATTAGGGTTAACGTTTGAGCAATAGAAAATTTTTTCTTCATCATCTGACTCCATCAGCGCTAGCTAGCTAACGTTTCTCTTTTAAATGCGTTATAAAACTGCCTTATTTTTAGCACAAGGAAAAGCAGAATAAAAAATGTTTTCCGACCCTGCCCTGCAAATCAGCTGGATAGGCTAAAAACTTTTTTTTTGTCCTGTGCTGCCTTCAGGACAGGACGCAGGACAGGGTAGGATTGTCTTGCCCTTGAAGTGTCTTGTCACTTGACATGTTTCCTTGAGGTTGATCCAAAGAAATACTAAATAATACATACTTTTATTCCTGTATTTCTTGAGAAATAAGCAAACATAGAATAGGTGTATGCTGAGCGCATTCATATACTTTTTAATGTACTCAAAATTTCTGCTCGATTCACGATAAAAATGTGTTATCTACAAGAGTACACTCTTTCTACCATGTAGTTCTACCATTTACCATCAGATTGTAAAGTAGAAAGACTGTATTAGTCGATACTGGAATAGACAACTTTCAGTGCATGTATTCGTAATCTATTAAGCTTCTTCTCAGCAGTTCTCAAGCATTGGTTTGACTTATGACCTTTGCATTTTCTAAAGTTTATATTAGATAATACGTCTATGAGATGAATGTGTCAAATAATAATCTTCGATTTGTTTTCTTCTTACACATCTTAAAATTTAAATCAGTTTAATTCACAATAGTGTAGTGTTAATAGTGATCTAAAATCGTAAGTGTCCGCTGTTTTGTTTTAGTTACATGGAACCATTTAATTTGTTCCACTCAGCTGCCGTTGTCGCTGCAGAAGCCTATTCTTCATCATTCTCATATCCATTTCGTCATTTCATGTCTCAACATCGTTATGATTGGCCAGCACAATCTACAACGAATGGTCCATCACTATCACTTTATGGGAACAACACCATGGATGATCATCATCATCAACATTCATCACCATCACTTACACCATCATTGTATTCTAGCACCTATATGTCACCATCAAATCCTTATTTACCTAGTACAAGTTTGGAAACAATGCCAAATGATGTTGAAAAATCAAGATTATACTACACCGATATAACATCACGATCAGATGATTCAAGTAAGTGTTGTGTTTTTATTTTATTTTTTCTCGCACAGTACTACTTTTTTCGTTGTTTTACACACAAACTGAACAAAAACATTACATGCGTATAAAATGCACAAAAAACTGCCTTTTTTACAATGTGCAATTTTTTAAATAGACTAAAATAAAAATGAACTAGTTGAGGATTTTGTTACCATCGCAAGAAATTCAGACGAAAAATTTTTCACATTTTCTGTTTTTCTAATTAAGTCGATGATTATGATTATACAGTATCTGCGACCAGTGTATTTTCATTAAAAGATCGTTGTCAAGTATGTTCGGATCGTAGTTCTGGCATACATTTTGGTGTATCAACGTGTGAAGCATGCAAAGCATTTTTCCGTCGTGCAAATAATAATTCATTGCATAAGCCATGTGAACCAACAAAATGTATCATAACACCACAAAATCGAAACGATTGTCCCGGTTGCCGATATGATAAATGTAAACGTGTCGGGATGGCACGTGAAAATGTTGTGTATGGAAAACCATCAAAACAAAAATTAGATGAATTACAACAACAAACATTATTACGTTGTACAAATGAACCAGGTGGTTATCCAAATTTTAATGATAGTTTAAAAAAACTGGCGGATGATTTAGCATTAGGTTAGTAAAATATAACACGTAAAACGCTAAATATTGATAATAGTTCTTATTTCTCTTTGTTTAGAATATCGTCAAATAGACGCCCTATACCGTCGTGGTTATGAACAACAACAATTGTCAATACATGCCTTAAACTACGGTACAAGTGCATATAAATTATTCTATACTCAACGATCAGAATTAAATATTGATTTATTAACCGATATTGTATTAAAACTATGTGATCTTTTATCAAATTCCCACAAAAATGGTATTATTACACAGTCATGGTTTCTACAACAACCAAATTTACGCTCATTATTAACATTGTGGTTATTTATTTACTATTATGAAACATTCGTAGTAAAACAAAAATTAAATCAAGATAAATTAATGTTATTAATTCGTCTTTTAGATCTTGAATTGGATAGACAAACAATATTTTTAACAACACCTGTCAAAGCGATTCGATGTGATTTTATCAATACATTTACAAAATTTGCAGATTTAGTACAAGAAATCTAGACATTCTATCATGTTCGTTGTTTGTTTTTGTTGTTGTT